GTCTGGCACAGGGAGCAGCCAGGATATGGCCATGCCCCCAGCTCATGTCAGCTCCCTGATCCCTGTCCATAATTCATTATCTCTCCAACAGCCCTTTGTGCAGCTACCATGATGGGGCAAATGGAGCTTGGCCGCTAATTAGCAGCATTAATAATAATGTCCTCCTGCTTTTGCTCATAGCACAATGCTACCAAGGAGGTTAAAGCCAGGTTCTGTACATAGTGGGCAGAGTGCAGACCCCTACACCCAGCAACTGATATGCTCGGAGCTGGGCACACTGTTTGCTGCCAGCCCTGCAGTGTTTACCCTGAGCCCTGCTCAGCTCTACAGAAGCTCTCAGCTCCTGACTGCACAGAGCAGCAGCAGTGTGGCCTTGCGAAGTGTTTGATGTGTAAACTGTTAACTGCAAACAGAACAGCCCATGCTGGAATGGGGCAGGCAACCTCCTGACTGCTGGGGCTTTTGCCGTTTGGCACATGTGTCACAGTACTCACTCAGCAAATAAGCTGTATGCTGCTGTATACTGTACTTTCAAAAAAAAAAAAAAAAAAATCTGAGAGGCTGAAATTACTTTTTTAAGGGAGTGGAGGCTTTAGAGAATATGTGCTGGATCTGGTGCAGTATTTTCCATGCAAGCAGACACCTGGGCTTTCCTGAGAGCCCTGAAGAACTGCTCTCAGCAGGCTTAGTTGAAAGGGTAATGCATACTCAGGTGATTTTGGTACATGGTATTATTTACCCTATTGACGTCAGCAGCTGCATGCTCTCAGTTTCTTCCTACTCTCACAGCTTACAGGAGACGAGCTGCAGAGGGCTCATGAACTCCACGAGAGCACCCAACCTTTCCAGAGCTCAGCATGTAATTCTCAGCTAAGTAAATGTCCATTTGTCCATTGGGATAAAATCTCCTGTTAGCTTTCCAAAATGTAATTCATTTCTTCTGTTCTGTAAACCAACACCACATGGCTTCTTACCAGAAAATAAAGGCAGTAGTGTTTTGATAAGTCAGTTCAGCAGATACTGTTACCTAAAACCATATTATGGCATTTTCCTTGCAGAAATTTTCTCCATTAAAGTATCTTTCTGAGTACAGAGATGTATAAAAATGTTCGTTTTTATAAGACCCCTTCCTAATACTGAGTGGCAGCTGTATAGGAAATGGAGTTTTCCCAGCAGGGATACTGTTTGGGATCCTTGCTGGAAAGACCTGAAACAATGGGTAGACAGTAACTCCTGAAATGAGCTCGAAAAATGAGATCTAGTTTTTGAGTCTTGTTTTCTCTAAACAGCCTTTACTAATATCTATGCTTGTCTAAGAACAAAGGCAAATAGGTGTCCAGTGGTGTGATTTTGCAGGTTGGGCTCAGCCAGAGTATTTTAGGCACTCCAATATTGTCATGTGGTGCTTTTGTCTGAGGTAGGCCTGTTAATGATGTTTTTGGAGTGTCATTTCAAATGCACCGTAGTCCCTTGCTTCCCACACCCCCTGCTGGAGGGCTATGTGGCCCCGGGGGCAGTGTTCCTTGCCAGGGGCCAGCTTTGTCTGTGTGTACCTGGTGTGAGCATGCACAGCTGCTGGCAGTGAGGGAAGGGGGCTGCTCTGTGTCTTTGTGTGCACTTCTCAGCTTTGGATCTAGTTTCCTGACACCCGTTTCTGTGCTGTCCCATGCTATTGTTTAGCCTTTATTTTCTTCCAGATACAATGTTTTGATATCAGTTCATCAGTCTTCCTTTTCCCTTCTGCCTTGCTCACATTGTCTCTGCTGTGCTAAAACACGTGCCAGTACTATTTGCTCTTTGTGCCCCCGTTGGCTGCTCCTCTAGTGGCTGAATCTGCCTCATATCTCTGTTCTGCTTCCCGATTCTTATTCCTTTGAGGTTTTCTGTTCCTAATTCATAGCTGATTCTCTGTAAGATTTACCCAATTAGTAATTTCTTTTCATCATATTTAATGTGAGTTTCCTGACATCTCACCTCCCTTTCAGACATGTGATCTGAAATTCTTGTCAGAAAATAAGCTGAGTCAGGAGAAATGTCAGCCTTTTGTTGTCCCAGTGTACAGCCGTCTCTGCCAGACTGACCTGCTTGGCAGTGCTCCATCTGTGTTGTCCTCACTAGGGTCAGAACTATAGAATCTGTGTGGCGTTGTCCAGTTACACACTTTCATTTATGGGGGAAAAATAATCTATCCTGTGTTGAAGCTCATTTTCTTGTGTAGGGAATTGTTAACAGTGATCAGATAGTCATACTGTACTCCCTCATTAGCAAATACACAGATACTAATTTTGTTCTGCTTCCTGCTTGTCACATAGCATTGCATTCAATCACCCCTGTGTAACAATACTTAAATACACTGGCAAATCCCATCTCATCTTGCATTCCCTGCATCAGAAATGGAGAAATCTGCTTATTGGCCTGCTGTGCCTTTTTGTTTCAACTCTCTGCTTCTGAGGACTCTAGCGTGTTCTGCACCAGTTCTTCCGTAGGCTTTCCCTCCACTCTTCCTTCAGCTAATGTCCCTCACTGCTACTTTGCTTTGTTCTGTACTGAAGGACTTGGGGATGGAGTTTTCCAAGGCTCATATATGATGTGTTCGGGACACTGGTGGAAAGTAAGCAGAGGATGAAGCTTGCACTCACATAAATTGTGTGCCAAATTTAGACTGCTTCCTTGCAATTCAGATTGCAAAAGCAGAAGTGATGTGTATGCGTCTGCGTTCACCCCATGCACATATGGTGCTGACAGTCAGCTGCTGCCCATTGTGTGTTCCCATGGCAGCCCTGCCTGCTGATCCATCTGCATAGCCTTAGCCATGCAGCACAAAAAGGAATGCACTGCTGGCCTGCAGTCGGTAGGGAATACTATGCAAGGGGCTTAAAAGCTGTGACCCAGCCTGCAGGCTGGAACTTAGTCCAGAGGGGAGGGCTTCCTCCTGTCTCCACCGGGATAAGAAGGGCTTAGCCTTTACATTTCAGGGTGAGAGTGTCTTCTAGACAGCTTGTAAGGTTAGCTGAGGCAACCCTTTGAGGTGTGACCTTCTGTAATTTTGCTTTGACTGCTAATAGCAAATATGTATGGGGAAGAGTGTTCCCTTCTTCCTGTCCTGTATGTAGCCTATCTGCAGTGTTGCTAGAGGATGAACAGCTCCAGCACCTTCCTGTTGCCAACCAATGGCCAGGGGTAAGTGGGGCATCCAGGCAAAGCTTATTTCCCTTTTGCTTGGGTCCAAGGGACATAAGGCTCCAGGGAGTACTTATGTCCCTTTTGCTTGGGTCATCACATCAGACTGCATCAGGAGGCTCAAGGGGCAGCAGAGGAGCAGAGTATGTGGGAAAGCAGGCACAGCAGATGCATTGGTCCTGTTGAGCTTTTGTATGGTTATGGCACAGCATTTCTTGTAGCCTGAGCTCACAGTCTTGAGGCTTCTCGACACTTCTGATTCACAGGAATGTGGAATGTGATCAGTCAGTTGGTCAGTACTGTTAAAAACTGAACTCCTAGATCTGAGTGCTTTGTGTTGCAGTGTGTCACCCAAAGTGCTGTATTCAGGTGCAGCTGTACATGGCCAGTTGTAGCTGAGGTCACTGAGCAAATGCAATAGGGACAACAGCGTTTCAGTGTGGTAGGCTAGATGAACTTGCTGGGTTTTATGCTGATTTTTGCTTTTGCTCTTTGAGCATCACACTTTTCTTGCTATTGAAGAAACCCTTGAAGTCACAGAAGTTATGTTAGAGATGTCAAGGAAAGAAATCTTGGGATATTTTCACCTGTGCACTTCTGTGACCTATCCTGTAATATAACTGTTGTTGCAGTTCTGTAGAAGTTGAGATATAATGTTTTCCCTACCTCATCTTGTTTGTGATTCTCCCTCTATTTTGAGCATGGCATTGTGCTTTCCCACAGAGTCTCTCTTTGGAGTTGCCCAATTTTTCTGTAGACATAAGCTTTCAGTTTAAATTATAAGAGAACTGCTGTGATTCATTTTTTATTTTTCACCCTCAACAGGACAGTGGTATAGGGCTTCAAGCAGAGGAATAATCTGAATTTTTCACTGCTGCTGCTTATAGTTGTAGAAGGATAAAGGTTCTTGTTTAAGAGGAAGGTCCTAGATCATCTTAGGCTCAAAGTAAGCCTTTTATACCTGGCTCAGGGTAAAAGGTTTCAAGGGAAGCAGTGAATGGGATGTAATTAGGAAATTGTTATAACTTGTTGAATTCTCAGAGTGGGGCTTCTTTTCTTAGGTCTTTACTGGGCCGGTTCAGTCTTACTGTCAGTACAGAGAAAGGGAAGAACAAGAAATAAGAGTTTTCAAATTAATAGGACAACTTCGGGCCAAGTGCAAATCTTGCTTCTGATTCCACAGAAGGAAGACTTCTGCCAACTTTGTCTTGTTTTGTCATCTCACCTTAAGTCATTTTGAACAAGTTTTCTGTTAGTGAAAGTACGTAAGAATCTTGAGGCATCAAGCTTTCCAATCTCTGAAAAAGACTTCAGTGTCCCATTGACTGCCTGGTTCTTCATTCTTCATGAAATGTTTGTACAGCATTCCTAGGAATTAGCATTATATGATCAACATTAAAGTGCTTTTGTATAACCTCTTGGATAACTCATCCTGACTGATGTGGAGCAATGACAAAAGTAATAGTGATTTTTGAGAATAATTTTCCTCTTTTGATGTCAAATTGATATACCACTGACCATGCCAATTCTGGAGTCCTGCTCCAGAAGCGAAGACAACAATGAAGACATGCAATTTTTTCCTTTTCTTTGTGAAACTGTTAGAATGCTTTCTTGACTTTTCTGTAGTATCAACAATCCTATGTGTGTTAAAACAGTAGGAAGCCAACTTCAGTCTAGAGAATCCATCCTTTGCAGTAGGTGCATTTTTTTTTTTTTTCTGGTGATTTGAAGCTTGGTGTGTCAGAGATAAAAAAAACAAAAAACAAAACAAACAAACAAACAAACAAAGAACTGCAACACTATATATAAAGAGGCTGTTAAAGAATGCTGAGCAGCAGAAGCCATGGTAGCTCACTGCGTATTTGAAAATGAAATGTATGTATTCTTTATTTTGTATCAATACACTGTAATTGCTTCACAGAGTCCAGCATATCAGTTGCATGTAAATACTACAGATGAACTTACCAAACTGGAGCTCACAATACTAGTGCATTTATCCCAAAGCGGAGACTAAACCCTCTAACTCCTTAAAAAAATACATTAAAGAACGTACCACACGCACACATATATTGCACTTTTCTCCATATGAAATTTTTACCCCATATACATCACACCAAAGTCTCTTCAAAGGAGCCTGTAGTACAAGATAATAAAGCTAATAATTACTCTTAACAGTAGTGTACACTGTCTTCTAATGTTAGACGTAACAGATTTGAACAAAGGAACCACTTGGAAGTAGCATGACTACAAAGTGGTGTCCAGTGGATATTCTGCTGTATTAAAAGGCATTAGAAGCCTTTTATTCTAACTGACTAAAGGAAACTGCATGAAATGTTAAATAGGATGGTGATTGAGGATAACAGTCTAAACTATATTCAAAAACTCCATAGCTTTCCCTTTAGCAGTACTGCAAAGCTCAGATGAGCTTAGACTCATTGGCACATTCTGATAAATGAATCACATAAGAATAATTCTGCTCTTGAGTTATCACTGAGTTCCAAAATGTATGGTATAATGGAACCGGACAGGGAGGAAAGTGGTTATAGGCTTGGCAGTAACCCAGTTCCTGGTGCAAAACTGGGCCTGTTGCCACAGCTGTGTGTCCCAGTGACAGTTTTGGCTGCCTAGTTCCTTGAGCACTTGTCTGATCTTAGAACTGCAGAATAGAAAAGGAATGAAAGGAAAGGGCTTCTTTGCCTCCTTTTCTCTTCTGCCATAATGAAATGCCTGGTGTGTTATGATGTGATGGTTTTCATCTGTTTCCTGTCCTTTTGTCAGTCACTGCAGGGGGGCACAGAGCTTTCTGTGTTCTGCAGCTACTATGTTCTGCACCTATTTGCACTGTCAGAAGAAGCTTTAATTGTGTGAATTCCCTTCAAAAAGAAATGTGTCTATCTCAGCTATTTAAACAACAGCTTTCCAGCTCTCTTGTATCAAAAAAGTAAGTAGTGTGGAGATGTGCTTGTTCCTTAAACTTTCTTTTGCTTCTGCCTTGAGAATTGTTCTGATATCAGAGGTAGAAGCTGAGCACTTGAGACTGAATTGGAGCAGTATCAAAGCAGGCTCTGTATCAACAGTGAATGACATCTCTAATTGTCATACACAGAAAACAAGGTACTTTGTGTCAAACTTGTTAAACTCTTCCCTCCTTCACAAAGCCTACAGTGCAGTGACTGAAGTCTATTCCACAATTAAGTGTGGTCTTATTGCTGTAAATGCTGGCTGATAATTCACCTTTCTGGTGAAAGAGAGCAGTTTTGAGAACTCCTTGTTGGAGTTCAGTAGGATCTATAGTCTGAAAACACTGAAGACCCAACCAATCACGAGTACTTTTTTTCTTTTCTTCCTCCTATTACCTGTCTGAGCCTGTGCTTTGCTACAGTATGTAAAATCACTAAAAACATTTGTCTATCCATTTTAAGTGACTACATGTCCTGAAGATGCTCTCCTTAGTTGTAGTGTCAAAGTCTTTAAATTTAAACTTATGTTGTAGAGAAATTTTCCAGTAAACAGTGGTCTCTACATGTGCCATCAGCACAGTTTCTCAAACATTCTTTGTGCTTTAATGAATCTGCAACTGTGCTTAAAGTTTGCTGAGAAAAGGGCTGAAACTGTATGGCTACAAGCTTCATCTACAGGAGAAAGATAGACAATATCCCACAACATTTGAAGACCTGAGATGAGCCCAAAATTAGTGATTTAAACTTAGTGGAGATTTCTAAACAATCCTCCTACAACTAGCATCTCCTGACTGGAAGTTCTGGGGACACAACTGCTTGTTGAATTTTGTATTTGTTGAAGTAGTACATAACAGTTCTTGATGCTAAATATTGCTGTTATACTTTCAGTGTTGTATATACTGAAACAATCAAAACACTAACAAAGTTCAACTTACATTCCACATAGTGGAACATGTGCTCTGAAGGGACTTTGGCAATAGCAAGGATGTAGATGGGGTATTGTCTATTTCTTCAGAAAAAAAAGCATATAGTCTGATAAAGAACTGAAAAAAGGCACAGCACTATCACTTCACAGGATTTTTTTTTTTTTTTTTAAGCTCATTAAGTTCTAAAACTGTAAGTAATTGTCCATATATACAAAGCTCAATAAACCACCAGCAACACATACTGTAAATTCAAAACATAGTTTGCTTGTTTCTAAATGCCATAGAAGGTCAGATAGATCCTCTCCAGTGAACAGAACTTCTCCAAGACAGAACTGTCCACAACGCAGGGGTGATTTCTAACACCACCCAGGTGGATCCCTGGATGCCACTGGCTGCAGCTCTTGATCCTTCTCACCATCCTTCTTAGCCCATCCATCTGCTACCTAATTCTTGATCTTTTAGTATTCTCAGTCCCACCCAAAGCTCTCTAGAAATCACTGTGATGCCCTGGGTCAGTTTCAAGTGTCCTTTTATCAAGTCAGTACATTACTTAACAAATATCCAGAAGCTTCTGTTAGTGACCAATTAAGAATTCCTTGGCAGGCTTGGGAAATAGCTGTTTATTTGCTAGCAGGAGGAAGCAGAGGCTGCCTGAGGTGCCTGGTGCACCTTAGACTTACCATGGAGCAGTCCCAGATCAGTAGCTTAACCAGAAACTGGATGCCAAAGTGCAACTTTCCTTTGGATCCTCCTCACTGCTGCTTCAGCTCAGTATGCTACTTGCTATCAGCTCAGACCCAAATTAAGTCTGAATTTCAATGAAAACTATTGCTTTTATTGCCAAGAAGTAGAATGCAATATGCATTCATTCTCCTTTCTCCTAGCAAATGCTAGGTGAATACTGCCAGACTATCAAAGTTTTTGGAAGGGGCCACTTCCTTTTAAAACTGTTTTTCTCTCCTTCTACACAAACTGGTTCTTTCTGGGACTAAGCTGAACTGTTTGTTGTCTAGCCCCAGCCACTGAGAGGAGGAGCTGGAGGCCACATGCTTCTAGCCATCTCCTGCTTTTTTCTGGTCAGGTGGATTTTTAGTTCCCTTGTTGATTGAAGGTCAGAAACTTTAGAGTTGGAACAACACCAAAAATGTACATGCTTCTCTGTCCACCCTGGCTTCCACTCCCATGTTAGACACCCATGGTATTAATTCACCAGGACGTAGCCACTGTGCTGGGGATCTACAGTTTCCATCATCTCACAATCAAATAGTCCGGGCAGCTCAGAGAGGGTCAATGCATCGTAGTTTGACTGTGGCTCCTGGGCTGCCAAGCTGCCCTGGCTGTCAGGCAATGCTACACTGCTCTGCTGTGCTGGGTCCATGGAATACTGGCACTGGTCAGGGTAGTCTGGCTCAGAAGAGGTGACAACAGGCAATTCACAAGTCTGATAGGAGTACTGTAAGGACTGTGGTGGCTGCTGCACCTGAACTGGCGATGACAACTGTGATGAGCTGGTGAGCGGGGAGGGTGGTGGTGGCTCCAGCTGTACTTTCTGGTAGTGACTGAGGAAGAGGTCATAATGCATTTGTTCTGAGGAAGGCTCCATAACAGGGCTGAGAGTCTGCTGGAGGCTGAACTGGGTTGATTGCTGCTGTGCTGATGGCTGCTGCTCCTCCTGGCATGAAAGCGGCATTTGACTTGACCTTGGGTACGAACTCTCAGCTATTTGCATCTGGTTAAAATAGGCCTGCAGCTGGGACTGCTTTTGGAGAAAGAGTCTCTTCTGATGCAGCCTGAATCAAGGACAGAAACAGCAATTATTTTTTGCCTTTTCAAGTGTTAAGGTACTAGCATCAGTACTGCATGCACTCCTACAGTTCCAGCAGGGAGCAAAGGGCAGAACTAGAAAATTCCTGATCAACCTTTTTTATTTATTGAAATTTAGCGTGTGGAACTTGTGAGCTGAACAGTTGTACTTTTCCAGCTACTAAGGGAAGCGAACAAAGCTTCCCTCCCCCGTATTCCTTTTATCTGAACTGCACTCTTCCCTATGAAGTTTTACAGAACTTCACAGCTTTGACCCCCTTACAAACAGGAACAGCTTACAAACACGGTGTCAGCTTACATAGCTACCTTTGAAAATCCCTGTGATATGACAAAGGGGAGGTCTCTTGCCAGCCAATTCCCAAAGCATGCACAAATAGGAAACCCGCTATTGACGTATGCTGATAGCATTCAGAAAAGGAATCTATTGTTTCCCAGCTTATTTCTCTGCACAGACATCCTAGTCTTGAATAAATGTACCAAGCTACTCTGAATACTGTCAGTATTGTCAGTTAAGTTCTTGACTAGGATTAATCAGTTGTCAGGAGTGTCTGTGAGCTATAAAGCAATTCTAGATTACCTATTTCCTTGAAATCAAGTAGTATTTTCATACTTCTACTCCTTAATCTTTTTGTTCCATAAAACATGTAGCTAGTTTGCTGTTTTCCTTTCTCTTTTTCCAATTCTTCTGCAAAATTTAGTAACATGAACATGTGTTTAGTATCTACTTTGCTTGTTTGATAATTACCAAATGATGAGCTCATAAAAACCTTATAGCTCTTTAACTTGTCAATGAAAAGCTTGTCTGCCGTAATATATTACAACAGTTATAAAGGCACATTTCCAATTGATTCATTCCTTTTTTTTCTCTACAGTAACTTTTTCAAAGGAGCATCACTTCTGAATTTTCACTGACAAGAAAAATTGTTTACTTCACATTTTTTTCACAGTAAGATTACTAGGCCATAGGAACAAGGTGGTAAATATCTAAATGAATGCAGGGCTCTCAAGCAGGTGGAAAGACATTAGCCATGTTCTGACCTACCATAAAAAGTGCAGTGTGTAGCGAGTGGTGGGGAGGGCAAGGGAAAAGATGAGTATAACAGTGCAAGAAGTAACTTTCTGCTATGCTTCCCCTTTGCACATCAGCACTAAACAAAGCATGCGGGCATTTTCAGTCTACCTTTGCCCCAGTAGAATTACCTTACAAAGAGCTCACAGCACAGCAGTTTGTAAACTGAAGGCAGGATTGTTGTCTTTTTTTTTTTAATAAGTTCTTTTTAAGAATTTTTAAGAACTGTGACCTTAATGATTTTTAAGTGAAGTTTTCCTTTTCAAGGAATTCCTATTCAGACAAAATCTGTCTCAGTTTTTTCATTACTACTGAGAGTGAGAATAAGTCGCTTATCTGCATAGTTTGAAATCTTACCTGTGCTCCTGTAACTGCTGTTCCAGACTCCGGGGCAATTCTTTGCAGTACAGCTGGCAAGTGTTTGGAACTTTTGATAGCAGGGTGGGTTTCTGCAAGAAAGGTAGCACTGTTTTAAACTGTATTTGTTCAGTCCAGAATGCAACTGAAAGAAGATTGCCTCCCCTTATGACAGCTTAAGTGTCCACCTTCATTTTCAGAACCTGCTACTAGAGTGCTGTCTAAAACCACAGCTAGCACTGCTTATTGACTTCTACCTCTTGGAAAAAGAACATTTTTGATGATGGACTGTATCACACAAGCCCATCGAAAAAATTCCTCCTACTTGAAAGAGAAGCTGGGGAAAAAGAAAGGGGGGAGAGAGGGAGAGTTTGGAAGAGAAACAGAAGCTGGGTAGAGGCTCCTCAGATCCTGATGCACCCCTTTTCAGCGTGCAACACAGGTAACAGGTATTCACTAGCAGCCACCTCAAATAGCTTTAATAATGTTCTACAGTAAAAGAACAAGTAGGAAAACTCCAGCAATACAGTCTGATTTTTCCATAATTAGGTTCATTGTGCAATAGAAGAAACATACAGCATACTTTCAACTGTTCCCTGCTAAGGTAGCATCTGACTCAAGAAGAGTAATGGGATCTGAAAGGTCAAAGACATGCAAACACAGTTCCTGACTGGGATTGGTGGGGAAAGCATGGTACCTGGAGCCTGTGCTGCAAGTACTGTGTCTCTAGGCTTTGCCGTCGGGATAACACTGGGGTACGTGCACCACTGGGGAAAGTGGCTGCAGCTTCCTGCTGCTGAGGTCTGTCTTCCTGCAGAAAGAAGGAGGAAAAGCTTCATCCCCAGAAAAACCTTTTTCTGCCTAAACCTTTTCTTTATGGAGTTCCCCTGGACAGAGATTCCATAGCTGCTGTCGGAGTTGGGTCCCGGTGTCACCCATTGCTTTCACTGCATGCTGAGCAGCCCACATGACAAAGCTCTGAGCTATCTGCTGCAAAATGCCAAGGGCTTACATCTGTGACTAAAACCACATTATTTATAACACTTTGTGACTTGCTTGCCCTCTGGAGTACTAAAAGTAAAGTGGTAGCAAACTGCACAAAAGCATGCTCAGAGTTGAGTCAGCTGTTGTTGCATGGCTTCAGAGCTGAACACAAAAAGATTTCTGTAGCACTTGGGAAGGACATGCACAGTACAGGGCTGGGAGGGAACACTGTGAGCACTGTGGCATGCATATAGCAAGCAAGAAATTCTTGGGAAAACTTTACAACTTGTTGTCAGAACTGAAGTTTTCCAGCAGTCAGAAAGGAACAGCAGGCTTGACCTGGAGCATGGGTGCTTGCAGTGCATGTGTGCTGCTGGCCCGTTTCATTCACAGGGTCTGACAGAGATTTCACATTCCTATTTCCTGCGACCTGTTCCATTCCAAACACATAGTTAGGGAACTGGCAGGAGCAATTTGGCCTTTCACAACACAAAGCAAGTTGTTATCACGTAGCTTTTGCACTCCTTAAAGTTATATATATTGGAGGCCAACTTCAACATGGAAAGATTAATTGAGATTTGTTAAATCTGAAACATTCAAATTAAAAGTAATAATGAAATATCAGATGTGGAAAGCTGCCAAGATTGTCTCAGACACCCCAAGAATATAAAGGCTAACCTGCAAGTACCCATTCTCCATTCTGCAGGAGCCAGAAAGGAGAGAAAGGAGATGTGTCTATGAGCAGCTCTCCTCAGAATCCCCACAGCACCACATGCCCCCCATCTGTCCCACAGCAATGCATCTGGAGGGGACAGCTATGCTAAGGGTGGTACCTGTGCAGAGCTGGTAGCGAGGTCCTGAAGCTGGGGGGCAGCTGATGGCAGAAGGGGTTCTTCTTCTGATCTTATTTGCTCATACAGTAGCTGGACTTTGTTCAGCTCCAGGATTCCTTTGGTTCGTGCCAGATTCTGGAGGTGCTGTCTGAATGCTACAATACCTGTAGAAGAGGTGTGCAAAAGCCCTTGTCAGAAAATGAGTTACTTCATATCTGGTTGGCACAGCAGCACAAGATGAGCTGTGGTGCAGTCAGAGCCCTGTAGGAACAAAGCAAGTTTAGGGCCTCATGGTTACCTTGTGTGAGGGAAGTGTCTGATGCTCTGCGCCCCTCCCGGAAGCTGACAGGGGAGCGGTTGTGGGTCTCGCGCTTCTGGGACGCAAGAGCCTGCATGGCAGGGTTGGTAGGCTGCAGCCCCAGGAAGGGTGCTGCCAGCTGCACCACATCCTTCAGTGGAGGGGCATCGCCCAGCAGGCCCACGTTCCTCTGCATTGACCCCATGTTGTACTCTGACTCTATGCTGCTGCCCAGAGAGGAGTTCTCATCCAGAGAGTAGACCTTCCCTGTGTCAAAAACCAAAAGCCAAAATAGAAGGAAAGTACAGCAGTAATTAGGAAGTGCCATGGGCTTGAGCTATTCCTGCCATTTCCTCCATTAGAGAAAATGAAACAATAGAAGTAATCATAATATGTACAGTACTGGAATATCTTGGGGTTTCTTACTACTGGTTTTTACATGAGTGCAGTAATAAGACACCATACAGGTGATGTTCAGTGGCTTATTGAGAGTGCAGTCAGTGTTCTTGCAGGGGATCCTGATGAGATTACAGCTTGAGCTGAAAGGCTCTGTCACCTTGCTGGTTGTGTAGTACCCAAGAATCTGGGGGGTTTTGCATGCCCTGTCCTCCTCCAGCATGTCTTTAGGGGATTAAGGGCTTGGGGACATTTGGTTAGGTGAGAACAGCACAAGCAAACTTACAGGACCTCACCTATTGCTACTGGTAAATGACTACAGCCAACTGTTTGATTGCTGCTCTGATTTCATACTGCCTTCTCAGCAGGTTTGGCTGCGTGGAACTGATCTCATGCTTGAGGTGTGTGTGTATGTGTGTAAGACCCATACCTGTGCCTGGTACCACTACTAGTTGGTCGGTGACCTCGGCCAAAGTGTGACGCCGCTTCCCACTGCGAGCTGCCTGCAGGGCTGCAAATGCCTGCGCAGGGTCATCCTCTGCCTCGCCTTCTGTCTCTATTCCTTCGTCGATTGAGGTTTCCATCATGCTAGTTGGCAGTGACTGGCATCCCTTCCGAATCACCATGGGAGGCACAGGATCTAGCAGGCAGCCATTTACCTAAATACCACATGGAACGGACAGCTTTCCATTACTTGCACACAGCAGCATGCCAAAGCGTGAGAAATCTCTGCCTGTCACGGAGGCTGAAGGAAGCTTCCCTAGGACCCACTGAGTTAAGTAAAATTTGCTGAAGAGTTGTACAATACAAATCTCCCTGGTGGTATCACCAATGCCATTCCCTTGCTATTGACTCCCTAAATCTGAATACTCATTTCCACAGCACTGAGTTCTTCACGGCCTTTCTTTCTTGTTTAAACCAAAGAAGCAAACTAATTTTGCCAGCTCTGCCACAAATACAAATATTTACAGAATTATCAATTTTGTTGCTTCCCCTTGCTCAGTGCTCATTTATTCAAATTCCCGATGCTCATTTATTGTTATCGAATAAGGACTATGAAAGAAACGGTCTTTCTGTATTTAATTAACTGGTGTTCTTGCAGAGCTACAGAAGTGTGTTCAGGAATGACATAGTAAATGCATTCCTTCTAGAAGAAGTCCATTGGACTTGCACTGCTGTTCCATAAACAGAGTGAGCGTGTGGAGCCCTCTTCTTGAATTCACACAGCTTGTTAAACCTCCAAGCAACTTCATCTGGTTTGAAGTTAGCACTGCTTCCCAAATTGAAATACTGGACCTTTCCAATACAGAATTACATTTCTGTATTTACTCTTTTTTTAAAAAATACTTTACATCATTTTGTCTTGAATTCTTTTGTACCTTAACCAATTCCATATGCAATTACTTGTGTGCTGAGGACTACGGCCCGTGTCATACTGTTGGCGTTCTGCAATACTCTGCAAAGCTCTGCGTGCTATCCTGCTGCGCAAGCTTTGGCAGGCTCAGATTGAGCAAAATATGAATGAAACAGCACATTCATTCAACATAAAACTACACTGCTGTAGGTGATGTTACATAAGACTGATAACTTGTATTCAACAAAGTTCTCTGGTATTTTGAAAATACATGTATTTGGAAAAGAAAGTTCACTGCATTAATAGTAGCTGTTAACAGATGGTCCTAGTAGCAGACTATATTGCAGTTACTCCAAGAAACTATTTAAAACAATACTGAGAAATGCTTTCACTAATTTGAGCTTCAGTATAATGATGATTCTTGCACAGAAATATTCTGCATCTGCTGCATCTATTTTAAATAGTAGCTGACATCCTTAAGCCTAATTTCCTTGCACACTTTCCATTTGTCACTTTCCCACTCAAAAGCCTTCTACTGACCTGGCAGCAGTAGTGCTGTAAAGATTATTTAGTGAACTGCTGGAATAGAAAGGAGAACACATGGACTGTCAGCTCTTTGCAGTTTACCATGGCATGTGGCTCAGAGCTTGGAAGTTTTAGCAGACATGGTGTGTAACAGATAGACATTGAAATATTCCTAAGCCATTTGTGATTTGACACCTCACTGTAGTCACCATTTACTGATTTTACTCTGGCCAGATGGCATCTCCAAAAGCAATGGGGCATACAAAATAAAGTTTGAAAAGTTAATTTCCAAATCTCTTTGAAATGCTTTTTGCTTTTCAGACTATAAGAACCCACAGATGGAGTTAATTAAAGCAGTGACGAAAACCAGGACCATGCTCTCAGTAACTAACCAGCAAATTAGTAGTAAAACCCTCAAAACAGCAAGCCTGAGATCAGAACCCTGGCTGATAGCAGGAAAAATGTGAAGTGCTAAAATTAAAGTTACAATGTGATACAGCAGGAGAGAGAACAACAGAAACTTCACAGAAATAATATACTTCACAAATATAGTTCTTCTGAGAGATATCCTCATAAAAACTGCTATGTTGTACCTATGCTACCAGCCTCATGCATTTCACTTATTCTTTGCTACCCTTCAGAGTATTGTGATAGACCTCAAAGTTGGATGGCAAAATGCATGAGACTGTGGCTCCCTTCAGAGCTAAGCTGTAACTGTACATTTCTAGGGCTGCAGAGCTGACATATCACATTAGTTGAGTCAGCTTAATCTTTTAACTGTGGAGGTGCGGGAAGCATACACACAGTCTTCCAGTCTGATTAAAGAAAGCAGAACCTATTAGATGGGACAGGCTTTTTTTTTTTTTTTTTTTTTTTTTTTTTTTTTTAAAGCAGGCATTTCCAGCTATAGGAATGGCCCATCTGAGAGCCCAACAACCTACCTGAAATGCTGCAGTTCTAGCAGGCTCTGACAGACTGGAGGTCCTGCAGGCTATTTACCATTCAACAGAAACTAAAAAAAATGCAATTCTTTTGACTAGCTTATTATGAAATTGGCATATAAAATACTACTTAAAAGCTATATTAATGACTTAATCACAAGCTCCCACTGTCAGCTGAAGGTTTAATTATACCCTCCTGTTCTCATTTGTCTGAATTTTTGGTGAGTAGCTGAGTAGTCGCTCTAGATTTTCAGCGCAAAGAACATGCAGGGAGTGCAGAGTCCAGCTCCTAGTCTGGAGGATGAGCAATGCACTGGTAGGAAGGACTGCCAACTTGGAGAAGCAGCCACTGAGCCTCATAAACTTGTACCAGGTGAAAGGCAGTAATTAAAAGGGCAACCATGTTTTATTAGTCTTACTGAATTTGGGCACAACAGTAGGGTGAAGCTACGGTGTACCTTTGGTGTGTTGATTCTTTCTTCTTCCATGAACGCCGTCTCTGTTTGGCAGTTGGACGGAGGGAATGAAAAGACCTCTGCTCCTGAGGTGGGGGGAAGTCCTGGGGACCGCAGCAGCCTCGTGTTTTCTGAGCACAAGTTCACTGATGGCACCACAGCTTGTGCCTAAAAGAAATGAAAGGACTCCAAAAACTGAACAGCTTTAGATAGAAAACAGTGCATAAAGTCACAAATTAAAAATAAACAATACCCATCCCACCTCCAAAGCAGAACTCTAGAATTCATTTCCTCATTCTTGATGTAGTTCATTCTTAAATTTGGGGAGAAAAAAGTGTCATTACACTAACTACTTATTGAAGCTGAGCATTTACTAGCAAGAAGGAAAGTGGGACTCTTTGGTGCCCTCCTACATATGACTTGCTATAATTCCTTTCTATACATATATCACCCTAAATATTACCAAGAGGATCAGGGCTGGTTTCAATGACTTCTCTAACATGCGCTGACTCCTGTTGAACAAACTATAAGAAAGAATAGAACAGAACTGTTGAAAGGAGAGGTGTGCCTCAGGGAAGGCAAGCATGGCAAAATTAGGAAAATAGGATAAACAACTAGTGAAAGCCATTGTTCTCCTGACATGCAGGACACAGAACTTGTCTATCCAAAATAAAACAAGCAGTCTTATACTGGAGCCTGTGGTGCCACCATGTGTAAAAACAAGTCACGTTGTTGCACACAATAACTGCACAATTGCTTGCAGTCCTGAGAAAAAGCAGGAATAGTGGCTATAGAATACAGAAAACTTGAACGTGGTACAATAATGAACTACTTCCTGGGTGGTTTTCTCTTCCTCCTTGCTCATCTCTCTTCACCTACTTTTAATACATCTTATAATTAATAATCTACCTTTGAATACCATGTCTTTCTGTCTTTAGATATACCATCTAAGAACATAGCTGGTATTAATCTTTGTCGGTCAGATTTTGCCTGGACTTGGGTTTTCATAATTGAGGGTGGTTTGGCTTTAATTTCAGCAGAACCTAAAAATAAATAATGTTTTGCTGTCTTAAGCAAAACAGGAGCAGCCTAGTTGCAATTTCTCCTGGAAGTGGGGCCCAGGTACTTGTTCCATACAGCAGTAGTACAGTACCTAGGAGGCCATAAACTTGAGAGTGTATTTTCTTGAAATAACAATAATCTGAGTCATCTTAGGCCAAGTCTTTCACGTTTCCAGTTTTGCATTAATAGAAATCAAAAGCTCTACTTTTGTGTCTAGCTTAATGAAACAAAAGAACATGTTAAAAAAATACCTGAGTATTATTGGAATATGACATGATAAACTCTGCATGACCTTTCTTTCTGAAGAAAATCACAAGGAAAGAAGTAGACTGAATAGCTGCAGAGCCTGTGCTGCAACAGTCAGTATAATTAGAAGGGATGCTAAGCGGACAGCCATTTGCAATGGATGGGCTGGCACCAGATGTAGGGAGCACACAACTGCTGCTAATAAAATACACACAGCACTCTTAAGACTTAAATCAATTAGTTGTCAAAATAGCTCTGTGGTCTATGCTCAGAGGTTTTGCAGCCATGCTGAAAAATCTCTTTGCTGCATAACAGCAGCAAAGGAGGAAAAAATGGCACAAGTGTTAGCAGAAGTGATGTTATTTAGGAAAATATCTGAGTCTTGACCAACAAAGAGTCTCATGACGATAATACTCATATTTGCTATGTAATACCACAGTGAATTGTTTTCTTAACCTGACATCAATGCTATTTCTCTTGGGTACTTCTATAATTCAGGGGAGACAGAAAACATATCTAGAGAACAGCAGGTAAGAAAATAATTTTATTTTCAACAGGTCTTTTTTGACTGCCTGTGTTTAAAAGCACTGTGTAGAGTGTTCGTGCTTTAGCCCCCATGCCAACAGAGCCCTCCATAAATTCAGTGGCTTATTTGTGGATCACTTTAAAGATACTCCAAACATTGCACAGATTGTATTTCTCCAACACTCTAATCATTGATTTCCAAGCAAAAGTTTAGAAATTCTCAAAAATGAAAGTGTTCCACTTTGAAGCACAAGCTTTCCCTTTAACATATTGCCCAAAAGCACAAAAGGAATGTTAAGAGCAAAACAAAGAGAAGAGACGGAATAAATGGGAGCCTAAGGTTAAAGCACTTGAATACCTGTTTAAAGCTTAAACTATTGTTTGCATTTTGGGCCTCAGAATGAAGTCAGCTAGCTTCCACATCTGCCTAGAGACCTCACCTTGGCTACTGTCTGCTCAGCAATGGTGCTTGGGCGGCGCTGGCGAGCATCAAATCTCTGCTCTACAGGGAAGCTGCTTCGATGCGATTTGAGTCTTTCCACTAACAAGTAATAGATAGCAGCAAAGTGGTTATAACTCTTGTTCTGCAGTGACTGAAAAAGAAAAGTATAAGAGTTTATGTGCAGTCAAATACAGGCTTTTTATGTTCTGTGAAACCAAGAAGCAAGAATTGTCATCTCAGGAAAAAAAAAAAAAAAAAAAGATACTGAAGAGGGGTTTACAGCATGCATGCAAACATTGTTCTGGAGTTGAGAAAGTTTCAAACTGGAGTGCTGAGCAAAGTGTGAGAATCAAATGTTGTTTCTGCATTAGAATTGGATAATATTTTATTATTTCATGGTCTCTGCTGTCATAGTTCTTTCTGGGAGTCTTTCTACTTGGGGGGGGGGGGGTGTCTCTGATAGTTTGCATCACTTATCCTCTAGATGAACCTTCCCTAGAAATGCACACTCAGTATATAGGTGTATATATGTATATTTTGTCATATCCATTGCAAGAATATCTTGCATGAGATTGATCAAACCAGAGAACAAGTCATGGGGAAACAGGGGAGGGAGATAGGCAAAGGGGGAAACAAGGTACAAAAAGCTGTCATTGTGTCCTTAGGGGTGCTCCTGCTTGCTGGACTCCCACCACTGCAATCCCGAGTAAAACCTGCTTTTACCAGAGACACTGTCCTGACAAAAATTATTTGGATATTTCCAACAAAAGGAAAGCATCAGCTTTAGTATAGAGGCCTTTGTAAGTCATGAGGGCTCATGGCATTCCAGTGTGCAGCAGTATCTATAGCTAACATTCAGGAGCAGTCCTTCAGAAATTTGAGAATAGAGGAGTGACTGAGCTCAGTGACCTCCTGAATGTATTGGCCATCCCAAATCACTAGAAACAAAAAGAGTCAGGCCTCTGTAACACAGAGAAGCTTCCTCTGGGGGGAAGTATTCAAGTGCAGCCTCCACAATGGTTAAAAGCATCAACCACTGTATAAGGAAAAGACTGTGTTAACTCCACAAGGAGTCTGCTAGTATTTACATTTGGCAAGAAGCACAGGTTGGGATTGGAGGGAAACATGTAACTGCTTAGTACTTCTGTGACCTCCCCTTCCCTTCCAGGGACAACTGCTTGACTCTGGTTTACCTCAATAGTCTTTTGTTGGTCTATTCCAAGGCTGTGCATTAGCCGGAGAACCTGTTCATTATACTCTCCAATGGAAGGCTGGTTCTCCTGTCCTGGGGCATAAAGAACAGATCTCTGCGTAGGAACTTCTATAAGCATCCACTTGTGTTCCTTAATCTGAGCAATCGTTAACCGTTTGGATGGGTCTAGGACCAGCATTCTTCTAATCAGATGCTCACAATCTGTTGGGGAGTAAAACACATTACCAGCCTGCTTACTGTTTGCATATCTTCACCTGACACCTCCCAAAAGAGCATGATAACAGGAAGCTGCCTCTCTTCTACCTGACTTCTGTGCTAAAAACATTTCCTGAGGACTACAACAATCTTTGAAAACAAGATTGAAAGTCACACAAGAGGGGAAAAAAAAAGACCCAGCTACTTTAAAGCACAGTGGCATTACATCGGCTCCTACACAAGGGGCATTGTAACACTTAGTAACTCTTTGAAACTGCTTGTGTTTCTTAAGTAGAGTGCTAACATTAACTGATAAAACTTCAAAAACCTCTGTGAAATGTGTGTGGGGGAAACAAGCATCTTCCTCCAGCATTTTGAAATAGCTTGTCCAGGCTCATGGAACAAGAGGTTGGCAAAAGTAAGCTTTATTATTAAATTGATTACTATTAAAGATTTTCACCCCAGTGCTCACAAAATGCATCTGTGGCTGTGAATAGTAGCCAATGGCAAAGAGCAGTTTTACCTGTTTTAAGTCCAGGATCAAAGCACAATCAGTGCTTTAGGTGCCACAGTGATTCTGAATATACCAGGGCATCGCTGTTTTCTGACCACTACATGTTCAACAGTGCTAAAAACAGCGATCACAGAGATCTCAGTTGGATTTTGGGAGATGAGGGTACAAGAGCTGAACACAGTTCTCGTGCAATAAAAAGTCAGTATAGCAATATAAGTTAATTAACGTAAGCTTACCAATCTGCCCTGCATTTCCAGCTGACCATAAGATGCTATGAGCCAGCCAATTTATGAGCCAGATATTTATGACAGATAGTTTAGAGAGATTTCTGGCTATTTACTCCTGTTGCTCTCTTTTGGTTTCCATGTTTTGCTAACAGGCGAATTCTCCCCACTCCCTGCAACATCATGTGATCAGCAAAGGAAGCTGCAAAGCTGGAAGTGAAACAGCCCATCTACACCTCAATCAGAGCAACAGCTGATGTGCGGAATCAAACTCTGTAATCCAAGTAAGATTACAAAGCAGGTATAGTTTATTCGGTGCTGTGCAGACCCCGGCTGCAAGGGGGATACATCCACCTGACTTGCACAATGTAGGGCAAAAGCTTGGTACAGATATAGGCCGAACTAATACATAATCAATGATTTTCCCAGAATTTGCATACATATTCATTACATTTCCAAGAACCCATCAGCATATGGTCCCTCCTTCTTGCACTGTGGGCAGTGGGGGTCTCCTTCTGGTGATCATGGGATGAAAGCTCATTGTCTTCAACAGAAGTAATCCCATCCTGACCCGTTCCTTGTGTAATGTTTCTTCAGGTTTACAATAGAGTTTCCAGATGTTATCTGGCCTCACATACTGCTTACCTACATTCCTATACAATGGTTAACCTTTATCTCGTCCTCTCCTTACTCACATTCCTGTACAATGGTTAACCCTCAGTTTGTCCTCTCCTAACTCACAGCTGCAACCGGCACAGAGGTTCTTGCATCTAGTTCACATGCTTACGTCAGCAAAGTCACAAACACAGCACAGCTCAGAGCAGGCTGCACACTGTGCCCCGGAAGCTGAGGGCTTGCTGCAGTGCAGTGTTGCTAAAAGCAACCAAATAGCTGAGCTAACCAGATCAGCTGTACGGTAGCAGCTATTTTCAGGTGTAGTATGCACTAAACACTACCAGAATGAAAAAGGGGAGGACCAGAATGTTTTGCACCACAGAATGCTGAACAACAGACTGAAAAATTATTTTTAATTCCCTTAGAACAAACAAACAAAATCCCATAAAAAGAATACTGAAAGGGGATTTGATTCAGAAAAGTTCTTTTGAAGTAATCAGGCTTAGAGACCCTTTAATAAATGAAAGCTGAAGGACACCATCAAACTGTGTGCAAAAATGGCCCAATTTGTTCTCATCTGAGAGGCACATGGCAGAGTGAAACCCAACAGATGGGGCAGTTAGGTAAGGCAAAGATCTAACAGTCAGTTGTGTGTGGGAGTGCTACAAGTACAAGAACCTGGCATATGAATTGGTTGTGCACTTCTTTGCTTTTGTTTAGCAGACACTGTCAAATGCCCAATCCACAACCTAGGAATGACAATGATATTGCTGTCAGCATATTTTCTTCCCGGATTAAAATGTTTATGGCCTCGTAGAATGAAAGTTAATTGCTATACAAATGTGCCTCTCGCCCTATATCCCCATATTCCTGGTCATGGTAGAATGAGAGATCCTTCACCTCCTATTTCAAATTCCTCCTTGTCCATGGGCAAGCCACACTGCAATCTACCGGAAGAATGGGCCGATTTGCCTACCTAGGAGTAGCAGCCTAATTACAAAGACATACAGTTCACCTAGGCTTGTGTTTCTTTGCAAAATGAGAAACAATTGGCTGCACTGTAATTTGCTGGGCAGATATACCACCCTCACTGTACTGCAACGGAGATTATTCTAGAATTTAATTAAAGCAAGAATATAAGACAAACCATTACCTTCTGACATAAAGTAAGGTATCCTGAACCTTCCTTCCAGAACTCGTTGCCTCAGTATGGGGAGCGTTGGCCCATCAAAAGGTAATGCTCCACAGACCAAAACATAAAGAACTACACCCATGCTCTGTAAGAAAGAGAAAATTCCTTTCATTTTTCAGGCTTCAAGCAAAGTAGTTGAGCTTGGTTAGCCAAATCCTGTCACAGAAAAATCTGTAAATTATGTCCCAGAGAAACAGGAAATTTATACAAAGTAGAGTTAGAATTCTGAAGATTGTTAGACCTTAGAACACTAAACCCCAAGTGGCTAGGCTTGCAGTATTTATGCCAATAAGCAGGTAAGTTGAAGTATAGCATGCTGGAGATTCTGGCTGCTAGCAGGAAGCTCATGGCAGATGACCAAATGAGACCTGCAGAGCAAGCCCAAACTAAGGTAAGAATCAGAAACTATTGTTTCAATGACATTCAAACAAAAGCAAACCTCAAACAGCAGCTACTCAAAATAAGAAATGTTTCACATTTACCAATTTGCAGAAACTTGGGAAGAGGCATCCCCAGTATCTTTATCAACAGCCATCTTCATGGAAAGATGGTTCTGTACTGCTGTGTACAGTGCTCTGAGCATGGGGGATTGTGTAAAATGAACAAAAGGAGACAATCTGGGAAAGGGCTATCATCCAATTGCCAGACTAATTTTGTGAAGTATGTAAGTTAATTGGCGCAGCAAGTGGAAATCATCCTGCAGCACATGCCAGAAAAAAAATCACACCACACAAGATGAAATAGCCACAGCAAATGAAATAACTACACCAAACTCTCATGCCATGAGTTGCAGCAGATAGTCACAGCACTCAATTTCTTAGGAAGAAAAAAAGCAAAACATTTAGCGTTTACCTTAAAACTGTTCAAGTACACAGAGATTTTAAAATTAAATATGTATTTTAATAAGTAACTTCCTTTCTTGCTGAAAATTGAACTATGTATTGCTGCATTCCTCTTGCTAGCTTAGTATTTTCAGCAGACCTGTTCTATGGTTGGATATTGCAAAAGAGATACAGAATCCTTCACTCATCTCAGAAAATAAGTGAAGATAAATTTCAGATAAGTTTTATCTGAAACATAAACAGTTGTGCTTTTCTTTGTGAGCAGGTTTATTCTGTTACTAATTTAGAGTCACACATACTTAGAAATATTTACCAAAGCTCAGAGATTCACTTTTGATGTTCAAAACTGACATCTACTATAGGCTTATTTGCCCGTTACTGAAGATTCAGAAAGGCAATAGCCTATTTTTTAAAAAATATGTCTACATATATATGTGTGTGTGATAACATTTATAGACAAATGCATGTATGCATCTGTGTACATAAAAGCACAGTGTTTCTTTGTTAAAAGAACTAGCATCATTTTAATTAGCAGCTGAAAGGTGACCTTCTGTGCACCGTTTGCTTACCAGGCTCTGGCGAAAATGTCAGTGCCTACGTTATGAAGTGTGTAATATTATCACCGCAAACCTAATACCAGAGCAGAGGCTGCCAAATTGTAACGTGTCTGGTTGCTTCAGAAAGTGAATGTCTTGTAAGTAGCAGAATATTAAACTTAAAAGTAAATACATAAAAATTTAGAATGACAAAGCAGACTGACAACAGATGAAGGGCACAGAAAACTTCTTTGGCTCATTCTTAGTCCCTTTTCAATTGTGTAAGAATGAGGGTGACTCCCTCTGTCCTCTTGCATTGAGTAGTACGCAGACAGATACAGAAACATGCAGCTCAGAGAAGAAAGCAGCCATCATCTCTCCATCTCTTCTGTGTTTTAGCTGCTCTGAGTCCCATCAACCTCAGGAACAGGTTCAATCCTCACTTAATGCAGAAAATACCAGAGGCACAGAAACAGCAAAGTTCATGCATTCAGACAAGGGAGCTTTTGCAGGAGGTGCAGGCTTTCCTCTGGTACGCTTACACAGATCTACAACATACATTTAACAGGCATGTAAATAGGTAACTTTAATTTTATCTGGTGTTAAGAGGCATTTTTATGTCAAGGAATAAACCCAAAGAGGAACAGTTGTCTGCAGCTTAAGAAGACTCAAAAGCAATTCATTTACTCCAGCTTCCCAGAAGTTGACTTGAATCCAGTTAAAATTAAGTAAATGAAATAGCAATACCCAGATATCCAGCTGGGGTCCTTCATATTGCTGTCCTTCAAAGACCTCTGGGGCTGCATATGGTGGGCTTCCACACCACGTTGTCAGGGGCTCACCACTCCTGTAGAAATTTCCAAATCCAAAATCTGTTGAGAAGTGAAGGGGAAAAGTCACTCCAAATACCAGCTTCATGACACACCAAATAATCGTAGGCATGAGCTGGGCCTGAAAGCTCACCTTCATTCACAAAAGGCTGTATCATAAATCCTTTTATCATTACTCCCACTGTAAACATTTATTAGAATGCTGAATATCCTATACTGCTATTTTCACAATAGCATAATCATTAAAATATTCTACAACGCCTATAGGAGCTTTGAGTAAACTTGTAGCAGTTCGCTAAATCTGAGTTGATAAACAGTTATCACTAAAATTTAACAAAATGACACACGTATGTATGAGCTTATTTACTTGCAAAGAGATACCTGAGCTACAGTACTGAATCTGAGATTCCCTTGACTTTCTTTAGGTACTCTCTAGCCTTGAATAAACAAAATTGATAACAAAAGCATCAGTTTTGGAGATGGGAGGAAGGAACTCTGCCAAAAGCAACAAGCACACACAGCCTTCTGCAAGGGAAGGAAGCTTTGCTCCTGGGATTGCCCACAGCTCTTTCAGTCTCTCAGTAAACCTTAATACTCTACAACTGAGCCATTCTTTTAAAAAGCTTCCTACAGCTTAACATGAAACCAGACTTGGGGACTTCAGCATTGTTGATATCAATCCAATAATTAAATATGAAATGACAGCCACAATTCAATAGAGAGATGAAGCCAGAAAAGAGCCTGCTGCAAATGGTACAGATTACCCTGTTGCTGTTTTCCTGAGTTGCATGGTTTTTTTTCTTACTAGAACAAAACAGCAAACAACAATAGCACTGAAGCTGGCTTAGTAACTGAACTAAGGCTGATCATTTTCAGAATGCAGAATTCCATGTGGGTGTTAAAACTCCACTGCGTCTGATCTGTAGCTCTCCTGTCAGTCACTTCACCTTTCTCAAAGTCTTCAGAGATCTTCACAGCACAGACTTTCCAGCTCCTTTTATTTCCTGCCATCACTTTCACCCTTTGCTTGGTTCATACATCAAGGGAGCAGTAAGAATGAAGAATAAAGCAAATGAAGTACCTCCTACATCCACTGTAGATACCCATTCTGAACACACTGCTTCAACAGCACTACTCAGTATTAAAATACTCAGGCTTTTAATAAAAGCCCCTGAAGTACCCTGTGTGGATAGACCTATTCACACACCGAATCAAAATCCCAGCTCCACTTCCCATAGAATTCAATGGATCCACATTTCTCTTAGTCCACTGTTTCCTTTGTGCTGCAGACACTCCATACGTCCCATGACACCCGAGTGCTGTTAATACTAAAATAAAAAAGAAGTCCTCAAGGTGAGAGATCTGATAATAAGGAAAATACTCTCTGGATTTAAGACTTTCAGGCAAACTAGCTTCAGTTCACAAACAAGTTGGCTGTATCTCCAAAAGAACCACAGAATAGAACATTACCAAGTGATTGATGTGCAAAAACCATCAAGCACAGTGATGCTGTTTGTGTTTGTCCCTGGGCAATTACTGCTTGAACAATGGTTCAGCTGTTCCTTGCTCCTTTTTCCCCCACACTGCAGCAGAGCATGCAGTAGAAGGTTATAGTTGCCTTACATTTCTTTTCATAAGTGATAACGCTTTTACCCTTGGAGCTCCCACAGAGTAAAATGGTATATTGGTGTGACTTGAGGAATGCTGTTGATATGCAGCGGTCAGTCTGTTGATTTAGTCCTATCAGCTGCTGCCTAACTCAGAGGTATGTTAGTGTGTGGTGCTGCCAATCAGCAAATAGCAGTACAGATACACACTGTGGTTAGCAGATGCTATGTTGGGCACTGCTGGTGCCTCTTTTGGTTTATGGGCTCTGTTTCACTGCATGAGAGAACCCTCAGAGTCAGTCAATACAAAGATACTAAACAGAAAAAATTAGCAGGCTTAACATTAGCATGTAATTGCTTTAGAGGAGCTTGAGGCTAGAAGTCTTTGATTGCTTTCCTAATAAGTCACCAGAGCTCCAGTTTATTGAACACCACTCCTGCAATACACATAACAAATAATGCAGGCAGAAGATGCAGTATCAGGAACACCAAAACTGAAGAGTCTTTGAGAACACTTTTTGCCTTTCAAGATTTTTCTTTAGCAGGTAATAAGACAAACTCCGTCAAATTTGGTTTCAGCCAGTCAGCAGGTTCAGAAGTTATCTGGGACACACACACAGCAGCATGACCTCATAGGCTTTTTGACTGTTGATATTAATTATTTCAACTATGAGTTCACTTATGATTTCAACAAGAAATCAGCAAGACTTGAAAAGAGATCTTAAGTCTTTTTGTACCACAGGTTAATTTTTATTACCAAGAGCACCCCTTTACAACCTTCGTCACCTCTGCTTCACTGCTCACATTGCAGTGCTGAGTCTCTATTGTGTTAAAAAGGACCACTGTTCTAAGCAGGATACTCTTAGTTGTCTTTAATGAAATGCACTAATTAGGAATAATAGAGGAATTATGGAGAGCCAAGACTACGCAACCAATCAGCCCTCACCACGGTAGTCTCAACAGTGGGTAGTGTACTGTAAGGTAACAGACTCAGGTAGGCAGTAGTAACTGTAGATCTTCCAGTTATGCACAAGTAGCTCATACCTTTCTGTCCTTATTTTGTGCCTCCTCTTTCCAAAGCTCAGTCTAATCTTGAAGGAACTCCTAGTTACAGCAATGCACACGGCTCACCTCTCTTATAGCAATTCTAAGTGCTGTTCTTCCATAGTAAACACATCTTGAAGAGTGCTGTGCAAGATGACTAAACCACTTCTTTTTATTTAGGAATTTCAAGGGATTGATTGTAGAATTTGTCTCTCTTGTCGGGTGTTTGAGGGTGCTAAGGAACACATCAGCATTACAGCAAGGATGCTGGAGTAAAGCAGGCTGACCCTAGTTCAGGTACAAAATCAGTGACTCAGCAGGGCCAAGCATAGCTGAAGTGCCTGTCCATTCTCTGCACAGCGAATGGAAATTGTCCCTCTTTGTTGAAACCTTTTTCCTTAGCACTTCAACAGCCTGAAATCTGACACTGCAGCTCTGCTGTAACGTTTCTGCCACCATTAATGCACATCATGTGCTCCGGGAACATCTCAGTTCCCCAGATACCTCAAAGCATAAAGGGAAGTGCTAGATCCCCTTTCTTTTCATAAACATTTGCCTAATGCTTTTTTTTCCTCAGCTTAACTACAGAGCCCAGTACTCTATACATACTTTATTATCATCTCATCAACTGATGGGAATTGCCTTTTCTTTTAAATAAACCAGTCATCCTGTGAAATAGATATTGGAGATTTCTGAATTTGCCTTATAAGAGATCAAGTCTAAAAATAAGCAGGATAGTCCTTTCAGGCCAATGCAGTATAGATACTAGCTCCTTTGTCAGCCACAGTAAGGTTGTGCAGAAACAGAAAAAATCTACCTTATCTACCTGACCATATATCTGGAACTTCTGGGTCCAACCCAAAGTTGCCAAAAAAGCAACTGTACTCCAGTTGTCCAGACCCGTTAGAGAAGCCAGGCCAATGGCTGAGCCCACCACAAGTAACTCTACACTGAACAGGCAAAAAAGGTTTTCTTGGTTGCATTAACCCTGCATTATACACCAAGAAAAGCCTCTAATTTGATCTGCAGGCTCTCTCAGGCTAGCTTACACAACCAGCTAGGCAAGTGGCTGCTTTGTATCCACGTACCCTGTAAATGAACTCCACTACTTTTGTAGCAATGGCAAGAGCTAAATCTGGTGCCAATAACTCTCCCAAGCCATTCCTGTAATTCCTCTCACAGAAAAAAAAGTTATCTGATCTTCATCCGTCCGGGAAGCGATCCCAAAGTACGTCAGTGCAGCTACAAAGGACGTATTCCCAGAGACATCTGACAACAGCAGAACACTGTGTGCACAATGTGGAGATCTTTACTTTATTAGAAATTCTCACATGCACGAGATAAACCTAACCACACGAGTGGGAAATCCTCTTCCAACATGTAGCAGGAAGAGATGGTCTTCTGAAAGATATACTTTAGTTCAAAAGTAATAACGCTGGACATTTGTAAGACAAATATCTACACTTCATTTATCAATGAAGTGTAATTTAACCCAGTGTTAAATTAAACTTAAATTTATCCTTAAATTAAATGTGTATCCCAGAGAATTAACATACTTCTATTACAAGAGACCAAATTGGTTACTGCAGAGAGCTGTTACAAGCAAAACCTCTAGCTTGAGTCCAAGGTCACTATTCTGGCTCTGACTCAGAGACTCGCATACTCATTGTCAAAGCAGTGAACTTTTTGGACTTGGCCATCATCAAAAAGCCCCAGCGTCTGCCTGAAGGAAAACTACAACACCAGAACTATCAGCTGAAGGTCAGACTGAATGTAAGATCCACAACAGTGCCACACTCTGCAAACACACAGAATGCCTGACAGTTGCATGAACAATTATGTAATGGCATCCTGGCATGCCACCATACTCTGGAGGCACCAAGGTCAGCTCAGATTCCAGATCTAAGTAGGAAATACCAAATGTAACATTAGTGCCATCTTTCCTTTTGCAGTCTCCTCCTGTGCTGAAACAATTGCAATATAAGTTGCAGTAACACAGGGAACAACAACAAAATTTTCTAAAAATAAAATAAAATAAAAAAATCGCACAAATTGCTGTACATCACCTGACTTTTTCTGATCACAGCCAGACTTTTGTTGTGAATCTCTTATTTTCTTTGAGGAGACATTTCTTTATACATCATAGGCTTGGCATCCCCGACAATACTTCAGGAAACACAAAGCAATTTATTTTCACAGAAACAGTTTCTGTCTGTGTATTTAAATCTGATCTCTCTCCACTTATCTTGAGTGTGTCAGATAAATATCAATCCAACTCCCAACTGCAGCTCCTACTCAGGTGCCACCCTCATAAGCCTTTGTACCAGATTCACAGGTACACATACATACATTTGTAAGCACAGCTATAGGAAGCATAACCTGCCTGGATATAAACAAGATTTATAATGCTAAGAAATTAAAACTTTTACCTATCCAGACTGGAATTAAAGTAGAGTTGAATGTGAACATGCGGAAGCTGCTTCAGAAAGAAAGACAAACAAATTTGAGCAGCAAATGACAGAACAGAGTCTTTAAGTACAAGTGATCACTATACAAGAAGGGGCAGGTTTATGCTGTAATTAGGATTTTTGCTTTTTGCAGTTATCCTTGCATGTTTAATTTCATAGCACATAATTTTATTTATTTATTTTATGATTACCAGGAGCAACTCAAGAGCAAGGGCACCTTAGAACTGAGTGGCATGGTCCTTGCAAGGCTACTGCCTTCTGCTCCCAGAGCAGCGGAATTACAGAAATCAACGCTGTCAAGACAGCGTTTGACCAGGGAACAGCATCTGATGGTTTTACAAGGACAAAGACAATTAAGTTTTATTAAGCAGTTCTATGAATGAAAGGTCTCTGAACTGATACTAGAAGGAACAGGCAAGGGTGTGTTCTGTCCAAGCACTACTAAAGCAGTGCTGGCTGCTGAGGCTTGGGGGCAGGAATGAGGAGGAGTAGGCTACAAAAAGTGGCATGCTTTGTATGCCCTGTCAGTGCCAGATGGATCTCAGCCAGCAGGGAATTCCTCATGAGTCTGCACACCTTGTCTATGAGTCTTACAGCCTGCCAAATAGCTCTGTCATTCCGTCTTTGAACTGCAGTTCTGCAACTTTAATTTCTTCCCCTTTTCAAGGGCAAGGAAGACTGGCATCCTCTAGCTTTGTTTCCACTAAAAAAAAATAGCACTGACAATAAGAAGTACAGTAAAAGCCAAATACCTTTTATTTTGTGCTGGGATTATTCACGTAAAATAAATCAGTGATGCATATTTCAGCAATTTGCTCTTATCTTTAGAAATGAAATTATATTCTATTGTTACATAAAATAATTACCTGTGCAGGGAGATCAGCATTGTTTGTTAGGGTACATAAATTATTAGGGTGACCTCTTTTTGTTTCCATTATGCTTTCTACACTTACTTCTAATTATATGAAACCACTTTTTATGAACTTGAGAATTTATAGGATCCATTAAAGTCATTTCAAAGAAAAAGTTCAAGATTAAGTCACCATACCTGCTGCTTGATCCATCGGGCTTCCTCAGTTTTTAATTACTGTGCTGACAGTTTGGTTGTCCCATTTTTTGAGGTGTTAGAACAGCCAGGATTCAACTGAGTACAAAACAATCACCAGCACTCTTCCTATTCCCCTACCTTGTGTCTACTTGACAACTGCTGATCTACCACCATCATTCTGGATGAAAGATAATCATTTTTAACCCAAGAAAAGCATTAAGGTTTCTCATTCCAGAAAAATGAATTTCAAGAACATTACTATCATCTAATGTGCCAGTCCTGCACAAGAAATGCCAGCCACAGAATTCTAAGAGGACTGAAATTGGACTTGCTATCAGAAGACTGAGATTATATAATTCAGTGATCTTTATCTTTTTAACATTTTCCCAAATCTGCACATTAAAAAGAAAAAACAATGACCATTTACAGCATTGAGTTCAGCTGAATAAACTCAGTGTTTCTGCCATCTGAAAATACTGGCTCCCAACATTTGGGGCATTTAGTTTCTTGATCTCATTACCCTCTTCAAAATAATCTTTTATTTAGAAGGTATAGGTTTTTTGCACATACAAATGGAAACTATTTTCCTGTTAAAAATGGAAACAGAGTAAGATTTCAGACCAGTTTGCAATTTGAGAAATAGAAGCTCCCTGCCAGAGCCACTGCTACTTCTGCTGTGCATCTAGCAATATGAGGTGGTCTCTAACTTGTACTACTACAAATCATGTAGAAGGGATACCAACCTCAGAGCTACAATTAATCCAGTCTTCTAAAATTACAAAAATGATGCAGCTTGCCTGGCATTATAGAGCCTCACGGGTCTTCTGTTATAACATAGTACTGTGAGCAAAGGATATCAAGATGAGAGGGGTGCTGGTAAAGGAAAGGTATGAGTGTTAGAAACAAACCTGACCCACTTCATGCACTGAATGCGCATCAGCCATTCTGACGTCAATGCATATTTTACTGTCCACCAGCAAGACAAGCCAGCACTACAGCCTATTTCAAAATAACAGTCTCTCCTACCTGATCTGGTTTGAACACAGCAGCTTTACCATCCGAATGCTCAAGTTCTGCAGACGCATTTGTAAAGCACATAGCCACTCCAGAGGGAGTGTATAAACAGGAGCGGGAACGACTGTTTACATGGGTTGATAGTGATATGACAAGGGGGAATGTTTTTAAACTAAGACAGGGGAGACTTAGGTTAGATATTAGAAGGAAGTTTTTCACTGAGAGGGTGGTGACACACTGGAATAGTTGCCCAGGGAGGTTGTGGATGCCCTATCCCTGGGAGCATTCAAGGACAGCCTGGATGTGGCTCTGAGCTGCCTGGATTGGTGGTTGGTGACCTTGCACATTGCAGGGGGATTAGAACTAGATGATCTTTGAGGTCCTTTTCAACCCAGACCATTCTACGATTCTGCGATCTTAATCTGGCAGTTTTGTAGAGATGGAAGGCTACAGGGAGAACCTCGCTATTTCATCCTCAGTTCTGCGCTGTACTTGCTGTTCATAGAGCCATCTCTGATAGAGGACAAACAAGTTTTATCTGATTACAGCACAGCTTACCGACAATGAGATATCCAGCCACTGAGAGCTCTTCAGAAACCAGCAAAATGTGAAAGGTCCTCAAATACCTGGCTGTCTACATGCAACAACTTTGGAAAAAAGTGCTAGAAACAAATTTGAGAGGAGCTGTATGGCTTGGTAGCCTTCAGCTGAAACTTTCTCATTGGACATTTAATCCAATTAACACCTCTGTTATGTTACTTATGCTCAAATTTAGGTTTGAAGTTTTTGTTCCCAACTCCCAAATATCTTCTAGAAAATAACAGTATCAAAGCTCTCACTTCAAGATCTTTGTGCATCCTCTGCTTCTCATCTAGTTACTAAGATAGAAAAGAAAGGTCCTTGGAATTCTGTCTATCCTCTTTCTTTTAGAGAAGTATTAGCACAAAGCCATGACTTTTCATGTCAGCTTCCCTGTTTAAGCAGAAGAGATGGCAATCAGCTTAGAGTTCTAGAAACACTTGCTTCTGAATCATAGCTGAAATACAGAGGTGACTTTATGCAAGTTCCTATATTTAACTGCAAAACGTTGTATTCCTAAAGAACAAAAGCTTCAGTAAAAGACTTTGGAGCATCAGAATAGATCAAGAGATCCCATGGCATTTGAGAAGAGCCCAGAATGGCCACGAGCATCAGTGTGGATTTGTAGCTGCTTAGAGCAGTCAGCAAGGTGCAGCCCCACGCACAGTGCTGTCGTGCAAACACCGATGCTGCAAAGCTTTCTTTTGGAATAATTCATCAGTTTTTGTGCTGTTTTTAAATTGTAGATTAATTGTAATTAGAAAGTAATTCTAGCTGTCAGAGTTGGGATCCTGGCTGCTCTGTGTTTTCTGCACAATTTCATACACGAACCATGAAGAAATACAAACCACTGGAAGAGACTGTTCTCAAGGACCCATGTGGTACCAAATAACTGCAAAATCACAGATAAGCCATTCTGTGGAATTAGTCATCTCTCTCCTTCGCAGAGAAAAGCAAAACAACCGACGCAGGACCAATCATCACACAATTTCTGGCAGGTTTAACTTTTCCCTGGTTACTCTATCACCAAAGCTGCTCACAGGAATCACAATCCATCCATGAAAGTTCAATGAAGAATAAGACCATGTGAATCACTACCAGTTAACGTAATCATTTACATGCATTACATACCATCTATAATTAACTTCCTGGTAGTATAGAGCACAAGAGCAGCTGAGGTAAAGAGACAGCAGCAGCTGAAGGAACCTGGGAACAACCATTTATTGGTGTTTTCATTTATTCCTGATTCTCTGGAGGACTTACACATCAAAGCTCCCCATGACAGAGCAGTTGATGTCTTCAGCCTTTTCTGGCCCTACAAGTTTTCAGAATTTTGAGATACCACTACCAGTTCAGTCTCAACATTTTTTGTTATTTGCACTTAGGCCACTTTGGTTTAAAGTCCAGACATCATCTCCATCCTAAAATGCTTTGTTAGCTTTCTTCAGGTATCAAAAGCACTAAGTAAGAACTCATATCAGAACTTCACTTTCTAACTACAACAGGTTTGCTTCATCTGATAGTAACTTTTTTTTTTTTTTTTTTTTAAGTTAACAGTAGTACAAAAGTCTAAAATAGAGAACAGAGAAAAGCAAAATAAATGAAAAAGAGGCTGCTATAAGAACTCCATTATTTACTGATATAAAGAAGTAAATAACAAAACAATTTTTACAGCTTTATGAATGTTCTTTAAAACTCCTACTATGACACACTAAGGATCCATGAAACAGTGTTTGTTTATGAGTGGTGAGGTGCTGGAACAGGCTGCCCAGAGAGGTTGCAGATGCCCCAAGTTGCTCCAGTTTAGAGGAGGATAAATTCTTGCTCAAGCAATAGTTTTGATCTCAGAGGTGCTCATTTTAAAAGACTGTTGATTCCCCATTCTGATAAAGGTGACTTGAAAGGATTTGAGAGATTCTTCCTAAGGGTGAGGTTAATCTCCAGAGATAGACTGGATGCTCAGTCTCCCCAATGTCTTCTGCAGTATCACAGAGGGAGAGGTAAATCTTCACAACAGATGCTAACCAATTGAACAGGTACTAGCTTTTCCTTTAAAATCTTTCAGGACATTGTCTTCATGAATAAAAAGCATACGTTTTAAGATCTGCTGGCACATTTAACACTTTTCTGCAGCCTCATCCTTACGGAAAGTATTAGATATCTAGATACGCTTTCAGCTCACCCATTTCAGAAGTGCCAGAGAAGAAATTCAAGAGTAAAGTCATCTAGCTGTAGTCCGTAACTCAGCAGCATTTTATCACTGCATCTTCCTCAGCCAATTGAAAGTCTATTCACACTTCCTTCTCAGAACACACAAGCTTATGCCAATACAAAACAGCTTCTTCCAGCAGTTAGTCCTCCTTTCCTGCTCCTGTGTTATTGATGACTGAAGTTCAACAGTGCTCCAAATCAAGATGTTATCTACCTTTTGCATTTCAAGTGTTTCTGGGCTAAAGTCAATATGGAAGGATTCATAGAATTGTAATGAGTTGATAACCGACAAAATTATTTTCACTGCTAGCAACATCTGCTGTACCTAAATTTATAATTATAATAAAATCATGCATGCAAAAAGAAAAAAAAAAAAAATCAGTGAGCTTCCATTTTGAGTTTTTTGACATTGAAAAAAGTTATTAACTCAATTTTAACCTGAACATCTGGCAGCATCATTGACATGTTATGACACCCACAAAAAATTACTCTAACTCTAGAAACGGTTTTCTTTTCCCTGAATGATATTCATAGTGCAAAAGTACTCTATGTATTAACACTCTGATTTTCTTTGCCTTAAGCACAGCAGGACTTCTTAGGGAGCAGCAACTGAATTACTGGAAAAAACTTTCCTTAAAAATAAGGTGTTTCTGAATAACCTCTACATTCTGCATACCTGCTATTTTGATGTTCATGTTGTTGTCAAGCAGAAGATTTTCAGCCTTCAGGTCTCGGTGCACAACCTTCCGGTTGTGGCAATACTCCACTGCTGAGAGGATCTGCCAGAACTTTCGCCTGGCCTCAGACTCACTGAGTCGGCCGTGGCTGGCGAGGTAATCTGTTCACACAAAGGACATTTAAATAGATTAGACACCAAGCAGTAACCCTGAAAACAAGTGATTTCTCTCAGATATTTCGCGCTAAGAAACTCAAGGTGTATTTAAGCCAATTCCAGTTTCTTGCATTCTTTCCTCCAAAAAGGGGAGAGAAGAACAGTTGTTGTCTAGTTAAACTCAACTCTTAGCTCTTTTATGGTTGTCCATTCTGATAAATATTTTCATGTAAGACCTCCTATGAAGTAGTTACATTCACATCTCTCTTGTGAAGCCTCAACACATGCTGTGCAGTGACTAAAAGTATTTGTTCTTTAGAAAAAAAGCAATTACCCATAAAGTACGCATCCTGACCTCTCTCTCTCATCTTCACTGCATCACAGCAGAAAGAACATTTTGTTTTCATATCTGATTATGTTGTAAAACTGACGTTAGCCCTGAAACAAATGATAGCTCTGAAACTGAAGACATCATTTATCTGCAGGAACAAAAACAAGCAAAGCAGCAGCCGCGCAAGTCTTGACAAAAGTAGCTTCTGTAGCCAGTTCTATTCTTTCAATTCCAAGGTAGAAAAACCAAGGAGTCAACCGTTAAGAAATGCCTTCTACATCCTACTAAGAATGAAGCTCAAGGCCAAGGTGCAGGAAACGCACAAAGGTATTCCACAGGAGAGACAGAGCATGTTATGATGCTATAGTGTGATAGAAAGCACAGCAATAAAAGCAGGGTGGCAAAGTCTCAAGCTACAAATGAGGATAAGCCCAAGCACAGCAGCTACAGACACAGAAACAAAGGGAAAAAGCTTACCCTCGAAAGGTCTCTGGTACACAGAGATATCCAACAAGATCCCTTCGCTTCCCCATCAACCCTTAAGTAAGGTCTGAGAAGGGGTGCATTCTGGCTCCACCCCTTCCATCACTCAGGTACATTGCATGCACCTAAGCTCTTCTGGGTTGGCCCTGTCTTCCCACCAGGTGCTCAATCAACCCTTAAGTAAGGTCTGAGAAGGGGTGCATTCTGGCTCCACCCCTTCCATCACTCAGGTACATTGCATGCACCTAAGCTCTTCTGGGTTGGCCCTGTCTTCCCACCAGGTGCTCAATCACTGTTTTAAGCCATGACTCAGCATTTCTGCTATGCATGTACACACAGCCATCTCCAGCCACTTTCTGCAGCACAGTTAGGACTTTTGTTAAACAAAACAAAAAAGCAGTGACCAATGAACTTATGTGATCGATTATAAGTGTTTGTTTTAATTTTTTTTCTTTTAAATTTAGATAATCTAATGTTCCTAAAATAAGTTGGTACTTTGGTTCCTAATGACATAACGTTGTTGCATGAACTTGCAATCTATTATTTCATTTATGTGGTAGGTCAGCTTACCCTGTACTCTCAGTGAGACAGAATACAGCCTTATTAGTTACTGTACAAATACAGACCACACAGAATGCTAAAGGTGAAGAAAGGCAGTTTACTAGTAGATAGTTATAGTGCCTACATTATGATCAAAGGGGAAATTTCGTACCTAGAAAATCTTTTCCATCCTGCAAGTTGCGTGGGCTTACTAGACAGGGAGAACATGTGCTGTCAAATATTCTTCTGGCAGTAGTTTAAAAAAAAAAAAACAACAAAGGAGGAAAAAAAGAACAGAAAAAAAAAAGGACAAACATAATTTTAAAAACATCACTAACAACTTAGCTGCTAGTTTGTGATATTGCATGGAATAAGAATAAGCTGGCAGAGAACCATTAGAAATATAAGACAAGGGCCAGGCTTTCTGTAAAGCTGTGGAAAATTTGCCAAATTTGGCAGAACTGCTTTAGACTCGTGTGCAAGGCAACTGGTGCAGCATACTACAAATACATCATCTTTCAGTATAAACTAGAAAAAATGCAGTGAAAAAGTGACTACTCATGTCAAAGAACTGATTTATGGCATTGCTTTAGAGAGAACAGTAGATTTTGATAGATCCATTATCTATTGGCTAGGAAATCACCCTGTCAATGACATGTATGGGAATACTGTTCATTTAATTGGTAGTGCATACCGATCAATTCCAAAGTATAACATTTCCTTATTAGCTCTAGATTACAGTACTGCTGCAAATGCTTATGTGATGCTGTAAATACCCTGAAATTATATAGCACTATCAAGGGAAGCACTCACAAGGAAGTTGGAAAGTTTTGCAGAGTGCAACAGAAAATGCAGCAGGGAGCAGTCACAAAACACAGCCCAGTGGGTCAGCAGCACTGTCAGCAGATGATGCCCTGTATTCCAGGATTCACAAAACACTCCTCAAAGTTCTGGAACTACTGGGAAAAAAAAAAAAAGGGGGGGGGGGGGGCAGGGAGAGGAAACTCATGTATGCCCATGCCATGCAATTTCTACATTTTGTGACCAATCACTGAGGAGTGGCACTCATTTCAGCAGCTCTCAAACATTTCCAGGCAGTCCCTTAGATCTCCAGGATTTGTAGATCTGAACACTCTCCTCCAAGCTTCTAACCAGTTTGAGCCTGAATGCACTGTCTGCTGGCTTAACTTGGCAAAGCACAAGAATAGAACTCCTGCAGTAGGGAAGATCATAATATTTGCATATCATTCAGTGATGAAGTGCCTGACAAATCAAATGGTATCAAAGTAAAGAAAGTCAGATATCAGATACAAATTAAATTACATGGAATAAAAGCCAACTCTGTAAGTTGTTAATCTATCCTGTGTTAGAAATTCAATAAGTTAGTTAACAAATCTAAACTGTCATTTTCTTTCACAGCTTTAGCCTGTTAGGGCTCATTTAAAGCTTCCAAACCACATTCAGCAATATTTCTGGCCTTGCGTTTTCCACCAAGTCTAGTCACCTGCATGGAATAGGTGATCTATCCTGAAATGCACTGCTTTCTCTCCTGGAGACATAGAACATACCACAGTCATGCTTTAGACACTCTCTCCTTCACATTTCCAGGGTATAGAAGAGAACGAAGCATCTGAAAAGTACATACATAGGCACAGTCACTTTGTCACATGTCACCTGTCTGGTGGATGAGGGAAAGGCTGTTGATGTAGTCTACTTAGACTTCCGTAAAGCATTTGACACTGTCTCCCACAGTATTCTCCTGCAGAAGCTGGCAGCCCATGGTTTGGACGGGTACACTCTTGGCTGGGTAAGGAACTGGCTGTAGGGCTGGACCCAGAGAGTGGTAGTGAATCCAGCTGGCGACCAGTCACGAGTGGTGTTCCACAGGGGTTGGTACTGGGGCCTGTCCTCTTCAATATCTTTATTGATGACCTGGATGAGGGCATTGAGTGCACCCTCAGTAAATTTGCAGAAGACACCAAGTTAGCTGGAAGTGTCAATCTGTCTGAGGGTAGCGAGGCCCTACAGAGGGATCTGGACACGCTGGATCGTTGGGCTGAAACCAATGGGATAAGGTTCAGCAAGACCAAATGCCAGGTCCTGCACTTTGACTGCAACAACTCCAGGCAATGCTACAGGCTTGGGGCAGCGTGGCAGAAAGACTGTGTAGAGGAAATGGACCTGGGGGTATTGATTGATGCTCAGCTGAACATGAGCCAGCAGTGTGCCCAGGTGGCCAAGAAGGTCAATGGCATCCTGGCTTGCATCAGAAAGTGTTGCCAGCAGGAACAGGGAAGTAATTGTCCCCCTGTACTCAGCACTGATGAGGCTGCACCTTAAGTACAGTGCCCAGTTTTGGGCCCCTCACTGCAAGAAAGACATTGAGACCCTGGAGCGGGTTCAAAAAAGGGCGCCAAAGCTGGTGAGGGTTCTGGGGCACAGGCCTTATGAGGAGCAGCTGAAGGAGCAGGGATTGTTCAGTCTGGACAAGAGGAGGCTCAGGGGAGACGTTACTGCTCTCTATAACTACCTGAAGTGAGGCTGTAGTGAGCTGGGGGTCAACCTCTTCCCTCATGTAAATGGTGACAGGACTAGGGGGAATGGCTTCAAGCTGTGCCGGGGAGATTCAGGCTGGATGTTAGGAAATACAACTTCTCTGAAAGAGTGATCAGGCACTGGAATGGGCTGCCCAGGGAGGTGGTAGAGTCACCAACCCTGGAGGTGTTCACAGAATGTTTGGATGTTATATTGAGGGACATGGTTTAGTGAGAACTATTGGTGATGGGTGGATGGTTGGACTAAGTGATCTTGTGCATCTTTGCCAACCTTGGTGATTCTATGATTTAGAGGAGGGTTGTTAGAATTGGGGGTAGTATGGTTAGGTCATGGTTGGACTCAGTAATCTTTAAAGTCTTTTCCAACCTGAATGATTCTATGATTCTATGAGATGTGATATGAGCTTTAGACACAGATGACTCTTTATTACTTGCTTGGAGTTCTCATGCTAAAAGCCAGCTATAAGCCACTAGAGAAAACTGAAGGCTGAGATCAAACTAATGTTACCTAGACTTCAGCCAAAAGCAGTAAATTACTTTAAATAGTTAAAAGTTAAATCAGACATAAGTCACCCAAAATGTCACCTTAAATACCTATGGCGTTTGTTATGTTTACACCTTTAAAATTGTGACTGTAGTGAGGATGTCAGACAGCAGCAAGAAGAGTGAACTGCTTCCACAGTAGTAGAAGCAATCACAACTGGCACTGTGGATATTTTCACCTTGATGAACAGTGGTCTTATCTTTAGGATTAACAATCAGCTTTACCCTCCACATTCTTACCCCTGTGTTGCAATATGAAGAAAAAAAATAAAGTTCACTCATGAAAAAAATATGGGGAATGAGTCCTTCAGAATAGGCGCACTGTGATTAACTGACAGTTAATCTAGAACAGGCAAACTCAGTGCACCCAAGGAAAGATTAGGACAGGAAGGAGGAAAAGCTCACAAGGCTTCAGTCTCCTTTCTGCTTGTCTCTCTCTCCTTTTATTGAATACCACCTTGGATTTTCTCTACTTCCCGGTTACATAAAGTTGTCCTAGGCATACTATCTTGCTTACAACAGACATTTCAATGATAAGGACCTAAAGATGAAAAAGAAGATAAACCAAACAAAAAGAAAGGACTTTGACCATTTGATTTGCATCCATGAAATCCACCCCATGGCCCACAGTGCAAAAAATTGCATTAAGTCAGGCTCCACCTCTTCTGTTCTCCAATCATTAGGGTCCTCCCCATGGTGAACTCTATTCTGATGCCCCTCAGAGTTTGTTCTGCCTGGCAGTGTTGGTTGAGTGTCAGTGAAACTTTTTATCAGCAACTCCAATTTTGTGACTGCAAATGTAAAATGTATGGGAAAACTCCAGGTGCCTGGATGTCAAGCATAAACTCACAAAATCAGCCTTTACAAAGCTCAGTACTCCAGATAACAGCATACCAGTATGTCAATCTTTTATCTTTTTTTCATTACATATTAATTCCATCTCTCACAAATTAGAGAAAGATGCTACATGTAGTCTGAGTCACAGGTCAGTATGACTGGCTTTCCATACTAGTAGCCACACAGTTTTTCCAGATCTACAGGAAGAACACTAATACTGCTTCAGACATCTGAATTGCTCCAGGAATCTCTTCTGATTCCACCTGCTTTCCTCCACAGACAGAAAGTAACAGTTTGTGACCAGAATACATGTCAACAGTGTTCTCTCCTCTATGTCTGTGTGACAGAGATTTTTTTTCTCTGGTTTAAACAAACTTCCAGGTCAAAACCCACCATCGCACCACTGTAATTCACTATCATAGCTTTGTCTTTATATTATTCCTGGGAATGTAATTTTTGCTATTAAATACTGAATTAACAGTTCCATCCAGCACCATGAATAACATCTTTCTACCCAGAAAGGGCCCAACAAAGTCTGGATAAACCTCATGAAAAGGTGCAGAAATTCAATCTCTCCTCCTGCAAATTTTTAAAACATCACCTCTCTTCATTTTTCAACTTTACCATCAGCTTCACACTTTGAAGGTGAGACACAACAATATATGCTCCAGATTGAGAGCATATTAATTCCAACTGCACAGCAACCGAAGTTCCTTTAGAGCAAAAATTTATGTTGGAAACTCAAACTGTAGCAGCTTTTCTTGAAGTTTGTTCTAAAATGAGAAGCAGTACCAGCTGTCATGAGCTTTTCTAGACAGAGAAGGGAAAAATGACATACTACAAAAAAAAAAAAAAGCCCTGAACAAAATCAGTGCAATTAACTAAGTGCAGAAGTTAACGGTAAAGTGCTGGGCATGAAAACATTCTCTTACCAAAAATTTCTCCATTTTTGGCAAATTCTGTCACGAGGTACAGCATGCTTTTGGTCTCCATCACCTATTGATGGAGAAATTGCACATTAAGTTATTATTTGCAAGAAGAGCAAAGAGCCACCAAACCTACATGAATACTTTTATTTATACTTTTTCCTCCAGTATAAAAGAAGTAGAAGTCTGTCCTGGACATACAGTTTTGTTTCTCATGTTGCCTAACCAGTTCTGAGGAGAGCATTTGCACAACAAAAATAAGCCCACCAAAGAATTAGTTATCTGCCTTCTAGGCAATGCACTTTCAGATAAGTTTGGGTGGCTCGGCAGGTGCATTTACATCGCAGCACTTTTCAGAATCTGGACTTACATATCCTCATGTCTGACACAAAGAGAGGATTGAAAGGCTGCAAGCGCTGCTCAGGTTTCTTTCAGCCAAGGCTCAACCAAAGAAAACCACCACAACCACACATCCCTCCAGATCCTGTTCGCTGTAAGCATTGCGCAGAGCAGTCCTACCCTGCTCTAGCTACAAAGTGTCTTGTCTACTGGCATGCAGCAAAGGTTCATTACCAGGTGTGGTAAACTTTTCTCTTTCCCTAACATTGCATTTGCAACTTCGTGCATTCTACGCACAGTTCAGATACATTTGAGTACCTAACATCTCCAGCCTAATTGTTGCCATAGGATGAACAGACCAGAATCCATGTGCATTCAAAAACATTAACCATATATCAATGCAAATTAATTCCCAAAAAGCTGGAATTGTGAGCTGCTGATAGGCGGGAAGTGAAATCTTCAAACAGAAGCAAAGAGGAAGAAATGAGCAGCCAGTGTTACCATACCTGGTAGAGCTTTATGATGTGTGGGTGATCCAACATCTTCATTATCTGCACCTCACGGTAGATCTTTTCGAGATTCACAGCATCTAGCTGAGATTTGTCAATGATTTTTATTGCCACCTGCAGCCAAAAAGCAACAGAGAGATTAGAGCTCTCCCTGACTCCTTTATCCTCATTATAAATACCACAATCCCAGATAGATGGGAGCTTTCTCCTAGCTCAGAAACACATATCCCACACTTCAGCCTCTAGACATGGAGCAGCACAGTCCAAGACATGGCCGTACTGCCATGGGGGAGTTCACAGGATGCTCTGCTAGCAGCATTCCAACTCCATACCTGCAAAAATGGTACGGAAAAATAGAAAGCATTGGCTCTACACAGAGTCAAGACATGGTGGCTGCACATAGTTCTAACAGTCAGGTGCTTATTTAAAGTTTAATTAATATGCAGCTACACAGGGACATCTGCAATTCATCTAGTCAATGAAAAAGCTCTGTAGCAGAAATGCTAAGTCACAGCCTGAAACAGTGATTGAGGACCTGGTGGGAAGGCAGGGCCAGCCCAGAGCAGCTCAGGTATATGCAATGTAATGAGTGATGGAAGGATCAACCCCTTCCCAGATCTCATTTAAGGGTTGGCAGCAGAGACAAAAGTATCATGCTGGAGATCCTTGCCTACCTGAGGTCTTCCCAAGATAAGCTGCTTTTTTTTTTTTCCCCCCCTCTCCCTCTTTGTTTCATGTTCCACAGCTGCTGCATTTGGGCTTGTCCTCATTTGCTGCAGCCAAAGAATTTGCCACTCCGCTATTATCACTATACTTTCCATTACATTATAGCATTACAAGCTCCATGGAGCAGATGTGTCTGTAGGTCAGAGCTCACCAACAGATCCCAATTAGTTTAGAGAACAGATCTTGGTCCTGACGGCTTTGTTTTTAGCCAATATCTGCAAAACATGTTACAGAGGACTGCACTTGCTTCACAGACTAAAAGTTTAAAACAGGAAAAGGAAAAAAAAAAAAAGCCCACAACAAAACCACTTTTTCTTAAAATAAAGAAGTAACAAATATACAGCTGCTAAAAACCTTAAAAAGGATCAGAATATGAAGATCATTAAATACCGAGTAATGTTTATTCATCCTAAAGATCTCGTTATTAATGCTGAGGTGGGAACAAGCAATGTAAATCACATAGACACTTCTGATGATGACCATGTTTACAAAGTGCTGAGCAATAGCAGGCAGCTGCTGTGCAGGAGGAAAACTACTGCAGAGCAAAGGATGTGAGCGTTCTTCGTGCAGCTTAAGAACTGCATACACACACCCACAGCTCCAAGTCTCCACAACCTGGTAGAAGATCACACCTCATAAACTCAGTTTTCTTTTACTCCCAGAAACCAGGAAGAAATCCCTTCACTACATCACTAGAAAGCTACAGAATAATGAAGTAATCAAAGCAAACCACTTGAGCCAGACAAAATTCTTAAGCATACACTGAGAAATATTTATTAAAAAACAAGCCCATGTCTCTCTTCTCCACTTCCTCTCATTCATTTTCTGCTCTCTCTGGAATCCCCCAAATGAGATGGTTTCTTGTTCCTTCTGCATCTGTCTGCTCAGCAGCTGGTATGGAGTGACCTCTGAATTCAAGAGAAACGGAAACCACTCTTTCTTATTTACAAACCAACAAATGTTCACCTGCAGCTACCTTGTATTCCTGCCTCACGCCAGTGGTACATCTTCAGGCCAGCAACAAAGTGAGTTGCTCTGGACAGCCCCTACCTCCTTCATTGGTCTTGTGTGCAATGAAATGAAGTGCAATGAAATCCTGCTTCCCTGCTTAGTATTTAAAGTGCATGGCAACCTAACTGAGAATTGACACGGCACCATACTCTGCAACTTGAGGTACTGACAGCAGCTTCTTTTCTCCACCGACTCACACCACTCCATGCAGAAACCTTACCTAAGACCCAGAACTGAACTACTGCATTCCCATCCCATTTCAGTGCTTCTTCCCCTTACTGCACACAAAGAAAAAGGACAGTAACTTTCTCCTATTTACTCTCCTTGCACGTAGGAAATGCACGCAGTGCCAGGAAGCTAATAAAAGCAGATCTCTGCAGAACTTCAAAGCAAAGAGGTTTTGTCTAGCAGAGAAGAGGAAAAAAAAATAAAAGAAATCAATAAAACAGTAGACTGCAAAGTAATAAAGGGCTTTGGGACAATTTGAAGGAAATAAAGCAGGCTGTCATCTAAGGCTCACACTGTACCTTTATCTACCCATCATTTGATTCACACAGATATTTATACTTCCTTCTCGTATACTTCTCACCCCTCCAAGTGAGTATAATGGGGAATCCTGCAGATGGATGGTTCTTTGTTGCTACTTTTCTCAACAAAGCTTGGCTCACGTCACCTCATCCTATTGAGAAAAGCCTCTCTCTGTAGGTACACAGGCTCTTGGCATATTTTCAAGCATAGTCTGGCACTGCCACAGTATGATCTTAAAATTTAAGTACTGTTTTTACTGATAGTAAAATATACAGGCTGTTACCACTCCAAAGCCCACCTACAGATGGAGGGTACTAGATATCCCAAGCATGGCCCTGAACTTGGCAGCTCCCAGCTTCCAACATCTCTACAGGGTTCCAGCCAGCTTTTAACTTTGTTTAACTTTGTTCAGTCCTAGCTACAGAAGGATCTATTTCCCCAGGAAAACCCAGATAAAACAAACGTATCCTTCTTTAATTTTAAAAATCAAATACTCACATTTGACAGCTATTGCTATCCAGAAGTGAAAAACAGAAATGCTGTCACTAGCTGATCTGCTCAAAACACCTTCATACATCAGTGGGAAGCAACTTAGGCTGATCGTGTGCAAAGATACAATGGTCATACGGCTAGGCCCGTTGCCATCCCTATTACTCAAGATTTCATAGCTAATATACTACTGTATAAGAAACAAGTTCTCAACATCTATGTCTGATACCATGAAAGATCACTAGTGTATGCACAGAGGCGTAGGTGTGCTCTGTAAACACCTCTGTTCCATCTCCCAAACATGTGAAGTAATTCTAAGGACATTTCTCCACTAACCAATGTTACCTTCTGGGATGTGAGAAGCTAAGCAAAATAATGAAGAATAAGCTGCATCTCCAGCTTAAATAGGTTCTAATTAAAAACATTAACACATTTTGTCTCATAATGTGAAGTTATTTGGCCTTATTAAGTAGTTGCTTTTTTCAACACAGAGTAAAAAGCATGTGGCTGCCTGAACTAAAAAGAAAAAAACTATTAAGCATCCTTGTACAACTCTGAGCGCTGAAGTTTTCTCTGCGCATACAGTGGCAGGCTTCCACGTGAAGAGCAGCTGGCGCCACTGCTCTGCGGTCAAATGCAGATTAGATAGCTTGGTCTATTCTGAACCCTCAATACCCATGCATGTCACCAGGTCCCTGGGAGGTTCAGAGGAGAACCTCTTGGAAATCCATGAAATCCAGCAACTCCTTCACCACATTGTGAGAAGGAACAAACATTCAGCAGCGACAGCTCATTTTTGTCCATAGCCTCAGCTGTGTCATAATGACAGGAAAAGGGGAAATAATTCTTAGAGGTGAGGAGCTGTTTCAGGACAAGGAAGTTTCCTATCTAAAAAGTATGCTTTGTTTCTGGCTGCACAGTTTGCTAGCAACCACCTGCAACTTACTGAGGACTGCAGCATCACTGAGCTTTTGAGAACAGTGCATGGAGACCACCTGTACCTGTTGGTGAGTTCCCATTGCTCTCATGTGCTCTGTCACCACCACAGCCAAACAAACGGACCCTAGTTAGGGACAATTACACACACATTCTGGAGTTTTATTCTGTCTTAAATGAAGGCCACCACTCCTCCTAAAAAGGGTATGAAAACCCCAACCAACCGAAGAAAGAATACATACTTCAAAACATCAAGGTGACCAACAAAAAGAAGAAAACACAGTTTTATTGCTGTTTGTGCCTTTTTCCCCCCCTTTGAAATTTTTGCTACTTAAAGACTTAAGAAAGCTGCAAATATATTTTGGAACATTGCTTATTCTTAATTTAAAAAAAAATATTAGGGATAGCACACACCTCCTTCCCTCTTTTGCTAGAGAACTGCTCAGCCCTCTTCTGGAACTGGGAACTGAAACTGTCAAGTAGCAAAGCTGAAATGCTTGTCAGAGGAAAAGAAGAGAGCAGTCCTGTCTTTCAATCACTCCAGCTTTCTGTTTCCGTTGTTTTTATATTACCCATTTAATTTTTGGAGCAGTCTTTCCAAAACCACCACACCTAAACACTGCACAAGAAGTTCATGTAGAGCTTGTTCATTTGAACTGGCATCACCCAGATTAGAAGGATTCAGCTGTGAGTCGCTAACCCAATACACATGAAAAAGTAGGTAAGAGGCATTAAAATCAAACATCTAAAGTCTGTGGCTGCAGGATCCACAACCAGAGGTTTTT